GTATATGCTATTTTAATACACACATATATATAGCTAACATAGTCAGTCATTTATGCTATTGTAATACACACATATATATAACTAACATAGTCAGTCATATATAATATGCTATTACACTCACATATATAGCAAATGCAGTCATAAACTGTTTATTTCACACACATATATAACACAGACAGTCATACATACTATTCTATGACACACATATATATAGCATAGACAGTCACATATATTATGGAAGGGCTCGTTGCTTGTGTTGCCGACCTCAGCGGACCACACAAACCTATCTACACATGTGGACGTGGTGTCTGTGACAAACAAACAAACAAAAACAAATATCCCAAACAAACAAAAACAAATAACCTCGACAAGCAAATGGACTCTTTTGCATCCAATCGCAGCGAGCGATACACACGCACGAGGAACGTTCAGACGAAGACGAATCAACGCTGTCGTTCGCTCAGGCCGATGGCATGCACGACGACTATTCCGTTAGAACGGATAAGACTGGACTGGGCTTAAGACACAGCGCAAACATGGCTGGTGCAGGTAGGGGTGTCTTGAATTTAGGTGCAATACGTTAACGGTAAGGATAGCGAGAAGAAACCATCGCCCAATCTATATAGGTGCACCTTTCTTCAGTATTTTTTTTATACACCCAACTGGTTTCAGGGGTTAGGGTTTAGGGTTTTACGAGTGCGCAGACGTGTGGGTCGTTTGTCATCACCACGTGCGTGTACACGTAATGTCTGGTGGGAGCTTTAATTACTATGGCAACCCATCTTATGTGTTTGGGGTTTGGGTTCAAGCGGGGAATCCCAGCGAGACGAACTGTGAAACACATGTGATCTGTAGTACACATGTGATTTGTAGCTCACGGTGTCGTCTTTTGATACGCACCTGCTCACTACGCCCCAACGCTCAACTCATTATACCTCTTCATCACCCTCAAAGAAAGACGCGCAAGTACCAGCAGTACTATCAACACCAACACTAACACTAACGCTAACGCTAACGTTATCACTAACACTAACACCAACACCAACCCCAATACCTCTGCAGGGTTTGATTCCGTGCAGGGTCAACATGACTCGCTCACGTTGGCTCGGTCTGGTTCAGGCTCATTCGCGTCTCCGCAAGCACCCAGGCACAGACACTCGGGTGGTGTAACCATGTCACAGGACAGCAGGGACGGCCTCTCCTCGTCAGGTCATTGGAGCGTGATGGGTATGTGTGTATGTGCCAGGAGCCCTGAAACCAGTGGTGAGCACGGTATTCGATGTGTTGTAGTGGACGTATTTCTTGTGGGTGTGATTGAGTTGCTGTAGAGTTTGCCA